CGTTTGGGGCAATATTACACCGAAAATATCGAAATGATCTTTTGTACCCAAAATAATTGCACCACTTCCGATATCACGTATTCAGCGTAATGTGACAAAATTAAAAGAGGCTTAAACTATATCTTACGCGAAAAGCAATATTTGATAAAAGAAGACACAAACGTCGTTCCCATATTTAACTATTTGCAGATAAGCCTAACAAAATGATGCTCCTCCAAAAAAAAGAAAAAAAAACGAGTTTTTGATGTAATGAACTGAGCATGCTTTTTAAATCACCTTTTACGAAAATAAAATTACAATGCTAAGAAATTATAATGCTTACAAACAATGCTAAGAGCTTGCTAATGTATTCCAAGAGCAAGCAATGCTTTTAGAATACATATTTTAATACTGTATTTTATACTTATATTTAAGATAACTTCATCAGATCATAAATGTATAACTCACATTTCTTTAATCATCAAACTCAAAATTTTAAGTTGTACTCTTATGAGAAATAATTTTAAGAATAATCTCAAATAGTCTTTTTATGTTTGATTTATTTCATTGATTGCATTTTTTATTCAAAGCTGTTTCGCGTAAAGGTTAGCAAAGGCCAGAATCTTCGAGTTTATTGTGGAAAATTAAAGGATAACTCTTGTAGGCTGATATTATTCTTATTTAAAATACAAAACAGAAAAGTTAAACTTTTAATTGACGAAACAATGTAAATCATTCCATCTATCAAAAAATATCATAATGCCCTTGGGTTTTAAAATTTATTAATATCTAAACTTCACGAAACATAAATATTTTTCACTTATTACTGAAAAAAATTTTACTACATATCTGCACTTATTTTGACCTTCTGTTACCCCATCACTAATTTACAAAAGCCAAATATTGAATTTTTACTGCAGGTCTGAACTACTCAATATTACGGAGTAACCTATGAAACTTTATTTTTACTCCTAAATATATATATTTAGATAACTTTAAGGCATCCAAAGTTCTACAAGCACTAATCAGTCTCTAAGACGCCCAGTGGCTGAGCGGTAGCGCTTCGCGCTGACGTTCCACAGGTCCGTGGTTCGATCCTTGGGCCGGGCAAGGTTGAATCAGCCTTTCATCCCTTCAGTGGGTCGATAAATGAGTACCAAGCATGCTTGGGAACTAAACACTGGGGGTTTCGCGTTCGGCTGACCACTTAACCGGAACATCTGCTCCTGCACCCCAGAGCCCAAAGGTCAAGAAAACTGAGATGGACACAGTAGGCCTTGGCCCTCTATGGGTTGTCACGCCGCTGAGTTTAGTTTAATCAATCTCTAATGTAAATGCTCTTAAATTGGTAGACATTATAAATTGAAAACTGACGTCTTTCAATTAAATAATAACAGAAAGCACATTAACATTTTATTCCACAAGGGGATAATTTTTTCAGAAGGAAAATGGTTTGCATATTTTTTGAATCTGCGTCAAGAAAAATGCGTCTCCGTAGAAATGCAATTAAAAAAAATTTTTAAAAATCAGAATAGTGTATCAGTCACTATGTGAAGCAAAATCGCATACCAAGTATTATTTAAACTACTCCTTAATCTATTACTTCAATGGTAAAATTTCAGTTTCTCAATTCTTACCCAATTGACTTCACTAAACCTATTTCTGGTGTTCAACGAGGTATTTTAATCACAAAGGATTATCACAGCAGTTTCTTTCGACACTAAAGAAAGTCAAAGAATCATGAATGAGCAGTTATTTATACGAAAAAAAGCTGCTTATGAAATAACCTCGACTCAGTCAAAAATAGAGAGGTAGTTTTAAAACGAAACGTATTATTTGATACTCACAAAAGAAAAATGTCCCACTCATCCGTGTCTAATCTGAAAACAAAGTAGTGACTGAAAATGCTGACAAATAATCGTTTTTCTGCAGAAGAATTGAGGTCAACCCAATAACTTCTGTAAATAGAATTATAAAAACCAGATTATTATAAATATTAAATTTCTTTATTGTAGTAAAAGCATGTTTTAAATTTTTTTGAAGTTTAGTGGTTTTTCTATATAACTTTTGTTTCCAATTGACGATATCCTTAAAAAAACTCTTGATTTAAGAATTTTACTCTGATGTTGATAATTTACTTTATTCTCAAGTAAATATTCTTTATTTTGAGTATTGAGTATAGTAAAGTGCGGCGAGCTCTCTGCTTATCGCTTATAGCTCTGCGTTTCAATAGGTAAGGCTTAATGTAGCCTATCAAGATTTATACGAGCTCTGAGGCTCTTCTTCAAATTCAACATGCTTCCACCGAGTCTAACAGCAGAAAAACCTATTCCTTATTTTTACGAATGATGTAAAGATGCAAATTAATCTAATTGAATGTAAAAATAGCTTAAAGAGCCTAATAATTTCCGAAGTAATTTTTTCCAAAAAAAGTGAACAATAAAATGCTCACAAAACAATCGAATCTTTCTTAGAATAAATTCCACTACAATTTACTTCAAATTTCTTTTAACAAATTTTACTATAATTTTGTCACTTGTCATCACTCAAAGATTCCAACTCTTATTTGAGTTTCTGAGTTATTTGGGAATAGACTTATGGCACCGTTAGGAAGATTATTTTCAAAGCACCCTAGTCTTATAATCTATGTAATATATTGCATAAATAGCTTAAGTGATAAACACAGTCTTTTTCATTGGGAACATATTTTTTTCTCCAAACTGTTTCTAAGTATTGTTACCCGTAGGTATTTTACTAGCTTACAGAATTATCTTTCAATGTTATTATCATATTTGGCATGATAGTATTGTCATATTTTTCACTTTAAAATCAGATTCAACAAAAACGAACCATCGTAGTTTTAGCCTTTCTGGAACAGGGAAGGGTTTTTAACTAACAAAAATTTTTTCAGACAGGATAATTTTCCATCCACTCTAACAAACAACAAGAGAAGCCTAATTAATTTTCTTTAATACTTTCAGTTGTATAGGGCAATAAAAAACAGCACAACCTATAGAACATTTTATTGCCTGCCTTCAAACAGTGTGTTTTACCAAAATTCTTTAAAATATTCAGTTTAATGTTCAGCGCTTAATATTTCCGAAAGTTTGAATGATGGATCTTGAGAAATAGGGTGCGTGAAGACTGTATATGATGTCCTCTGGTGGTAAGAAGAGTTTTAAAAGTGCAGTTAAAATGTCTGATAGATGAAAATGTATCCTGGCGAGAATACGGTTTGGAGAAAATTTTTCATTTGGTTTGATAGCCCCGAATATTTATTGATCTTTAATGAATTAATTTTATGTATAACACAGATAAGTATCTAGCTATATTAGAAGTTCAGAAGGGCCACGGTTTGAGCCGTCCATGTGTTGAGTGTTCAACTAAACGTTGTATTTCGTTCTGCTGCGCAAAAGCTATGGGACTTAGAAACTTGAAATTACTAAGGTAGGAAGGAAATTGTTAAAGTAGATCGAGGGAGTAAAAAAAGTATGATTATGGGCCTGCCAACAACTACGCTTTTTGTAAAAATATTTTATAGAATGGTAGATATTTCAAACCCAAAGTTTTCAGAATTTTTTGTAATTCTGCTATCATTTTAAAAGCCTCACCACGAAGAAGATAGAAAAAAGTGACCTTGCATATGAACTTTAAAATCATTTATATGTAGTGGTGTAAAAAATAGGATTAAATTAATAAAAATATTACATTAAGACATCAACATAACTACCACTAGAATAAATTTTCACAAAGAGCGTGGAAACTTCACAGTCCTGAGATTCGATTATTTTAAGAATTATTAACTATTAAATTTTTACTATGTTGGTCGACCGACCAACCGCTGAAATAAAACTACTGGAGTTGATTTTTAACGCGCTGGTGAACCTTTTATATAACAAGATATTTTCAAAAATTCCTATTAGTTTCAAAAATTATGAGAAAAAAAAATTACTGCAAAATTAGGTGCTAAGTTTTTTTTTTTTTTTTTTACTTTAGACATTGACTATTACGTCGTTTTAGTAAATAATTTTGCCCTTAATTATTTCCCTCAGTTTGTTTTCCACAAGACATCCTTATTTTATAAGCTCACACTCAAGTAGATGTTAAAAGTAGCAATAAAGGGAGACTACATGTTACCAGTTATAAATCTTAACATTCATGCAGTGAAATTTTAAAGAATAAAATAGCGATAAAAAGAATTCCATCTTTGAATTGTTATAAGTCTCTTCCACTAGTAAATTTACTTCTAATGTATTTCATCTTATTGAGCCTCTTTAAGTACAGATTATTAATTTTCAAATCCAAGTAATCATCCATTTCATTACGATTAACGTATTTACAAAATGATCTTACAAAAGATTTCAATAATTGCACAGTACGAAATCAAATTGTTCTGAGCTTTGTGAAAAATGTTGAAAAATATCTAAATACATTTAAGAAATAAAAAATTATGTATGAGATTAAATTGAGAGGGTTGGTAGGAAAAGGCAGCAGAGAGGCTGTGCTTCGAAGTTTTTTTTAAGTTTTTGCTCAGAAAAAAACTATGCCCATTTTAATATGCAAATGTATATCTGTCGTACACTGTTTTCCGTAATCATTCTTTTTCTTAAGTTCTCATGAATTTATAATTTTTTTTAAATTATTGAATATTTTCTTTTTTACACTAAATTCTACATGGAATCAAATTTTAAAACTCCGAAAAAATTAAGTTTAATTGAAGAGTTTGTGGTAATATAAAGATTAGTCACGCTTTTAAAAAATATTTATGAAGCGGAAAAGTGATGGAAGAATATCAGAATAAGAAATCAACTAAAGCTCGAATTTTGTTCAATAAATTAAGTAGCTTTGGTTTTCGAATTCTTTCAAAGCACGAATTTTAAGCCAGATTGAGAAATTAACAGTTAACTTACACTAATATTAAATGTTTATGCAAAAAATATTCTAATTTCATACCAAAATATTAAATACCGAACTAGTGCAGGATGAGTGATATAAATAGTATGATAGTAAAAAAGACAAAATATAAAAATTTTAGTTTATTGTACATGAAACAAATGCACATATACAAATATAATGAAACGTATAGAAAATTAAGCCAATCAGGAACCCAACCATTACCGCATGCAGTAAAACTTCATCAAAAATGTCTTCGATTAAAGAATTAGAAATACAATTTGAAACTACATTAAACATTATTCAATGTCTTATAGTATCAATTGTTAAATTTCTTAGAAGGTTCACTGTTCCCAATCTTAATACGTGGATTCTTTAAGCATGTCTAAAACTACATCATATAAATTCTTTAGCAATGTTTTTGAACTTTCATAAACAAGTAACAGTTATATTATAAAAAATAATTTTTAAATTCTGATATGTAGTTTTACTAAAAACTACATGGCGTAAAATGTCTTACATTACATGTTAACAATATTAAAAATATCGTATATTACTAAAAATGTCTTATATTATATGTTGCATAATTTTGATATTTTTAACTTACACCTGTCAAAAAGACTGGTTTTTGTATGTTGTATTATAGAGTTTTGGTACGTTCAGTGCTAATTCAATGCAATAATTAATGTTACTCAGGACATTTACAATGTGAAGACATTTGTAATGTGAAGACATTTTTATGTCAAGAGATTACAAATGTCTTGACATATTACATATTCAAGATATTTACAATAATTTCAGACATTTATGATGCAGTTTTAATGATCAAAAGAAATTTTTGTATACATGTTCTTACCAAGCGAAAAACCAATTATTGCACAAGAAAAAACTATGTACACAAATCGAGAATTTATATCAGCCTCTAATATTTGTGCAGATATACTTGTCATTTCCCTTAGAAATAGTCATGCACACAGAATACTAGTTTCATTTTCTGCTTAAAATAGACTTTCTTGGTTATAGAATAAGCAGAAAATAGAAACAATTCTATAAATGACTATTTTTAAGTTACGATTATGTACAAATGTACAAACAGAGGGTTAAAGCACAAAGAAATCTTAATAAGCAAACAAACAAGCATAGAGGATAGTGTTAGTTTGGCACTTTTTAATCTCAAGGGTATTAGATAAAAGATTCTGTCTTAAGAATTATCAAGGGATACAAGAAACATCTACATTAAAAGCCAAAATAATCTTTTAATTCTTAATCTCAGTCATAATTCCAGATAAAATTACTATAATTTCCCATATCAAAAATTGGTATATACTACGTAACTTAATACAGTAAAAGATGTATGGAGATGTAACCTATAAACAGTTTTGGCGCTGAGAAACATTTAAGGTTTTCTATGCTCCTTAAAAAGTTTCAATTCAGTTTTAATTCAAAAAATGAATAGTTATCTATTATCCCTTTTTAAAGATGCACATATAAATATCTACAGTTTCTTAAACACTAAATATTAACCAATAAATTATTTTTCGCTTGCTAAGGGTAAACAAGGCACAATTCATAAAAAGCCACATTAAAAGATATAAAAGCAAAGAGTTTAAAATCTAATCCAGTGTCCTTGTGTTCCAGTCAGCACCGTAAGTTCTTCTTTAAAAGCATATTTGCTTCCTGCAATTAATCCCTTAGAAAGTAGCAGTCCCAATTGCTGTTGCTGAGCAACGAAGTTTGGCAGCACCAGAAAGTTTGTAAAAGCAAAAGTTTGGCAAACTGAAGCGTACTAAATAGTTTTAACTTCTGCTCATAATTTTTAAGTTCAAAAATTTTTAGTTAAGAGATAGTCTTGCGATGTAATAACTTAAAATGATTATCAACTGTCCTTGTAGATTCAAAAGTTAAAACAAAATAGTACTCGTGGAAAAAACTTCAGCAAATATTGGCGAAATAAGACAATAACAATGACGAATTCAATCTACAAACTATATTATGGCAAAAAAAGTGGACTTTTTTTTTAGAAACATGAATCAGCCAGACATACATGTTGGCGTTTTATCGTTTTGTCCATTAAAGTTTTGAGGAACAAGTAAGGTGCAATTAAATAAGGATCTTCATCACATTTTATGTTGTTCTTTAAAATACGAATTAAATTAATAACACTAAACAAAAAATCTAAATCACATAGTTTCGCTATCCACGACCGCCGGCAGCTTCGTAACCCGTGCTACCGACCCATGGATATTTGGCGGGGCATGGTTGGCAAGTCTTCATGTACCTGACACCACCTTGGTACCAAACATTGCACACCGTTGGAGAAGGGCACGGGGGTGGTCTTTCAAATTTCCTGCAATCGAATGGTTCGAAGTTCTTTAATTGATTGGATGGTCGTGGATTTCGCATCCACTGAATAAGTTGGTGATTTGTAACAAACCACACATCATCCTTCTGGAGAATTTCATCCAAAAATTTCATAAAACCACGCCTATGGTGCTGTGTATTAAACCAAGCAGAATGGTAAAATAAACCAAATGGAGCTCTGTTTGTTTTATAGTGACGGTTAAAGTTCTTCATCAGCATTTTTGTAACAGCTTCTTCATCTGGAGGGTTAGAACAAGCATCACCCATAGAGCAGCGTCCACCCCTAAGGTCGACCCACATGACCATGCCCACTTCCCACAATCCAGGGAAAGACTTCGTGGGGCAAGGGAAAATCATGCATTCATGACTTTGGGCATAATCGAGTGTGTAAGGCCAAAAGGGTGGATTGTTCTCGTATACCGGCATGGAGGAGTCATATGTAAAATTAGCATCGTAAAGCATTTCGAACATTTTGTTCCCGCCAATTTGAAGGAAAGGTGCACGCATCCCACGTATGTCTTCCATTTTGACGCCTCCGTACAGGTGCAGAATCTCCCGCTGTCCGTGAATTTCACGCATCCATTGATTCTTCGAAAACTTTTCACCGTAGCTATGACTGTAAAAAAATATAAGCAAATGTTAGAAAAATGTAGAGGAAGTTAAAAATGGTCATAAAGCAGATTGATTAGTAAAAAAATTAGTAAAAATTTTAAAACAATACAAGTAAACATTAGTGCAGATTGATATATAACATTTAAATTGTGGTATTTAACTTTAGAAACAAGACTAAACTCATTGAAACTGAGTTGATTTATTAACATTATGTGCTTTTTAAAAATTAAACACCAAGCCAAAATAACTTGTTCTACAAAGTTATTTTGGCAATCTGCAAATCTTTTTTAAAATACTTAAGTGCAAGGAAATATTTACAATGTATTATACAAGGATTATTTAAATCATTTCAAAGAACTTTATTATTTTAATAAATTTATTGCAAAAAGTAGAGATAAAATTATAGATCTAAAGATCCAGTTAGTGATTTTTTTTCTTCCGTACTTATGAAGCTAACAAGCCTGAAACTCAAATTCGAATTCAAATTTACTGAATGAAGAGGATAAATGCTAACTCGTTCATCTTAGTAATTTATACCTTTACAAACTAACTTTTGAAAGTGTTAATAGTACACCACAGCTGCCAACTTTAAACAGCTGTCTGACTTTTAAACATATAAAGCATAATTTTCAGACTTTTCAAACCCAGAGTAGTATATCAAAGCATGAAATTTGCAAAAAGTAGAAAATATCGTTCTTAAAAATTTTAAAAGCTGGAAGGTATGCTATACCCATTCGTAGCTGTCAACTATTCTTAGGGCATTTTTATTTCATTAATTGATGGCTAAATTTATGATTTGATATTTTCTCCCCGATCTAATAAATTTTATTTACGAATGATAATGACCATCATATCGAAGTAGTTTAAACATATAAAAAAAAGCTCTGGTAATCACACGATGTGGTTTTAAGCGCATTAGAAAAATTATGCTTACATTTATCACTGCCACAATAAAATCTTCTAAAAGTTCTAAGAGTTTTGTATATTTAGCTCCAATATGCTGGATTAAATTCACATTTGAATGTCACACTATGAAAATACCTAAATTAAAGCACTTACGTGATGGAATGTGATGCTATTTCATGTCCTTGAGCGTACAGGCTCTGCACTTGACCATAGTCAGTCCATTCATGTGAAACATAGAAAGTGGCTAGGATGGGGCAACCATTAGGATTAGCTCTTCCAGTGTTAAACAATTCGTCATACAAGTCGTTGTTGAGGTCATTTACGGCATCGTCGAAAGTCAAAAGCACAAGTTGTGGACTTTCACTGGGCCTTAGACCCTCGGGGATGTCAGAACCTCCGCAGCGACAATCTGGCAAACGGCACTTCCTAGGATCACACTTTTGGGCAGTTGTATACGGTTCTGGAGTTGGAAACTGACTTGGTGGTCTCGATGGAGGAGCTGCATGTTTGGATGAGGCAACATTTGCGGGTTTAGTAGGTTTTGTAGCTTGGTTTATAGGGGCTCTTGATCTTATTTTAATTGGTGCAGGTGTAGTGGTGGTTGTAGTCGTGGTTGTTGTCGTTGTGGATTTTCGAGGTCGAGTAGGGCGAGTTCTGGCTATTGTGGTCGGTCTAGTTGTAGCTTCTTGAATATCCTCTTGAGTATTATAACCGCTTGTAAATTGTCGTTTCAAATTACCAAATCCATCAACCACGTCACTGTTGTCCGGAATTTCACTTTTTGATTTCGGTTCTTCAAATATTTTCTTATCAGATCCCGGTCGAGGTCTATTAGGATGTCGTTGTTGCGTTTGCTTTTGAATGTCTATTAAGCTTGCAGAGTCTTGCAGGGCTGAGACATCTGAAGGAGTATCTACTTTCTTAGCTTGGCGCTGATTTCCAGTATAAACTCCAAAATCAGCCTCCAATGGTTGGTCAGGAAATGTTAATTCATGATCTTCATTATTTACATTTACTGGATGGTCATCATATACGTTCTCTTCTGACACAGAGCTCCCTAAATTAAAAGAATTGCTATTTCCTAAACTTGAAGGGATTCTTAAATTGTCCTCTGGTATAGCATCATTCTGTATTCTAGAGTCATCAATTATTATGCGACTAGATTCTTGAGGTGATGAAGGTTTGGGACGGTTATTTCTTGAGGGTTCCCTATTTCCTTTTGGCTCAATTAATTCTGCAGTGTCAATAATTCTAGTAAACTGTGTATTTGCATTGGAATTTTTATTTTCAGAAATATATGCTTCCGTTTCCTTTTTAGGTAACTGTAAGCTAGGACTACGTGGTCTTGATAGGTCTATTACTCTGATTTCAGGACTTTCCCTAGAATCATATCTAATATTATGGGGGGCGGATGGAATTTCTTTGCTGGAGAGTTGATCATCGAAAAGAACAGAAGGAAGTGAAACATTTATTTGAGGTTTGCGATCATTGCCGAAGTTTAAATTTTGAAAGTTTTGTGTATTAGAGTCAACTGGATTTCTCTTTAGCGTGTCTATCTCTTTAGTGAGTTTTTTCTCTAATCTAGGTAGATCTGGAATTGATAAAGGATTGAAGAACTCTGCCTCAGGTTTTGAATCTTCATTCTGAGTTCGTTTTGGAGAGTCGCGATTAGGGCTTTGCTCTTTTCTTAGAGGAGTTATGATGTCGAAGCCACCGTAATCTTTGTGATCTGCATTGTCATCGAAAATCGTTGGTGGAGGTGTTCCGAAGTCCTTTCGATCAGAATAGTCATATTTTACATCTTTGTTTTTTCCATTCGAGTAGTCTATTACCACATCTGGATCTTTCAAATTTTCATTGCTGTTTGGATAATTTTCTAAGCTTCGAGGTTTGGTTGAAAGCGTCAGATCTTTCTTTCGTTGATAATCTTCATCGTGATCTTGATTCCCATTATTTCCATTGTAAATTGGTTTTTCAAGTACGCTGAAATCGCCAAGACCAGGAAGATGCGCCAAACCAGCAAAAGCATCCAATCCATGTCCACCATCTGCTATATGAATTCCACCTTCTGAATCTACTAAAGGAGGTGCAGCTTCTTCATATTTTGGTTCTTGAGGATCATAATTATCCAGTAGTATCTGATAAATAAAAATATGCTTACTAACATGAATTAATAAATACTAATCTATTTTCAAAAATATCATAAGAATATGTAATTTGATTACTTATTTTTCAGTTCAAAAATAAACTTAGAATCTTTCCTTTTCTATTAAGGATGTTTTTTTAATATATATTCGATGAACATGACCTTAATCAATTTAAAAGTGGGCCTTAAGAAAATGTTTTCTCTTGAACGCAACATAATGAACACAAGCGTTGAGCATAATGAAGCGTTGAGCATAATGCAGAGATGCCAAATGCTCCGGATTTGTCAAAATTTATAAAACAGTAAGAAACTACAAACTAGTATTTAATGTTTTTTGGCTAATTTTGTCAACTTTTTAGAATGCTCACCATGGCTTTACCATAACAAAGCGTCGAACCACATTAAAAGCAGTGGTGAATAAAAAACCTTTAAATAAAATTTGCTAAATCGAAAATTATACATGAAAAGACAACCAGCCGAAAATATTTATCCGTTGTCCGGAGCAAATTGGCATCTCTGATAACATAAGCGAAGATCATAATTGTTCAAAAAGTATAAATTTTTGAAGACCAATACGCCAAGGAATATCCCGAACTCTTCGATTAAGGAAATTCCTGCATTTTTATTCCTGCATTCCTACAAATTTGCATGAGTATTTTACTTATACATCCAAAATAGGAGCTGCAAGCTACTATCACGAGCTGAAAAAGCAACTATCACGAGCTGAAAAAGCACCTATCACGAGCTGAAAAAGCAACTATCACGAACTGAAAAAGCACCTATCACGAGCAGTAAGTAAATATCACGAGCTGTAAGTAAATATTACGAGCTGTAAATAAGTGTAGGGTGATAGAAAAATTACGGTGAAAGAAAATTTACGACATAAGCCAAAAAAATAGTAATACATACTTTTCTGTCTTCATCACTTCCATACAAAGGATCGTCAGACGAGCTATCAGACTGATCTTGATCTTCAGACAATGCTTTATCAACAAACTCAGGCCGGCTGGTTTGAAAATGAGGAGACTGTGTCGTACTCTCTGTTGGAGAAAACCTCTGTGAAGTTCGGCTCTGATCTGGGCTTTCAGTTCTGGATCTAGACTCTTCCTTCTCCAACTCAGCACTGCTTTGCGAGTTCTTAGATTCTTCACCACTATTGTCTTCAAATGATTGGTAGTTGGACACTGGATCACTTTCGACTATTTGTGGCTTTAGTTGAGGAGGTGGGTTTTCTTTAGCCAGTGTGGACGAGGCTCTTCTACTTGAACTGAATACTTCGTCTTTGATTTCTATCACTTTTTCCTCCAATAGACTTTCATCTATAAGACGAAGTTTTATATAAACGTCAATGAAAGTATAGTATTGTATGGAATATCTAAAACTGACAGACAAATTACAATTTCCCACATTGACTAGGAATTCTAAATTATTATTGAATCACCTACATGAATTTCTTTAAAATAACTAGGCCAAGTATATCATAATTTTCATATTTTATACTCTACCATCAGAGCATTTGTCATTCTACAGGCATTCAATACCACGAGTGAGCAAAGTATAGAATATTTTTCATACATTGTCAAAAATCGTCATTAATTCTAAAAGAATATTGGCATTTCATTCATTAACAATAACCTACGTAAGAATACATATATACAATCGTCTACATATCTAGAAGAATATATAAAATGCATAAGAATAAATATAATATAATTAAGAACAAATATTATATGTAAAAATATATATTCTTTTATATATGTAAGAACATATATAATGAAAAGTTAAACCGAAATTCTGCTGATGCCCACAAATTGGTTCTAAACATACCTAAACTACAAACCATAACTTAAATATAATTTTAATTAGGCTGATGTTCATAAATAGATTTTTACAAAAATGGAAATTAAAATAAAAAAAATGCATTAAATTACAATGAATTTAAAATTGAATCAAAATCAAAAATTAATAATCTTAGCGACTTGTTTATCTGTAGCATTGAATTACCCTGCTTATTTTAAAGATATTCCCAGTGAAGCATGAAAGTTAACAAAAATTTAGTACCTATTAAAATTTTCTTTTAATTTTATGGAGTTATTTTTAAGTAAATTTAGTTTTTCAAGATGTGGAAAAAAATCTTGTATGATGCAATTACTTTCAAAATTACAACCAGATAAATATGAACTTATAATAGGAACTACGAGGACATAAAAAGTAAAGTTACTTATGATCGTACCAATTCAAACAAGCTACAAGAAACCCTTATTTACGCTGTTATCGGTGCATTGTGAATAAAAACAATTATGAGTCAAATAAGACTCCAAAGCTTGTCAGCATTATCTTCACTGTGCTATAATATATCATTTATCTAGAGTATAATGTGGAGTTTTTTAAAAGCCTTATTTACCTTTCATGCAGTTAACATTCCTTGGCCAATCACATGTCTGTAATTCTAGGCTGAAATGTAGACCACCGGTACACTTCTCGTGAAGGGCATCTCCAAAAACGCAGACATAATACTTTGAGCAATCATTAGAATCCCTGTAGTAACCAAATTGTTCCGGACATTTAAAAAGTTCCTCGGCAGAAGTGAAGTAGGAAAAAAAGCAAGCTGAAACAAAAGAAAAAACATAAGTTTCTCTAATAATTATCAAAATTACATGTTTCAAAAAATTGCACCTTATACATACAGTAAGGAGTTTCGTTTC